AACCTTATATCTTTGTGTATCATTCTCTGATATCATGGTGTAGAATTTAAAGGAGTGTTTGAAAGATTTTAATCATAATCCTTCTTTTAATGATGACGATGAGAAGATTATTGCTGACAGTTTCTCTTCATGCATGGCAGTTCATATCACCTCCCCCATAGTTTACTAGCCTTTACAGCTATATCAGTGGTTTAATATATATGTGGCCAAATAGTTGAATGACTATGTATCAGCAATCTGGACCAGATTAGTAAAAGTCAGTGTGCTTCCTTTTCAGTAGGACCATCTACCATATGTAGTAAAGGGTGGAATAATAGACTATTGAATTTGATATTAATGATAATGTGGCTGTTAGATTTATGTGATAGCTATTGGTTAAGGTTACCAAATGCAGATTGACTAAATGTAAACTTGCCAAATTCAAGGCTCTATTGCTATCTATATTGTGGAAATTGATATCATTGCTTACATTTAATGCATTAAGAAATAATGTTATCCAGGCCCTTTCTTTGACAAATAGTTCAAACTGTAGTGATTCCATGACTGGGAATAGCCAGTCCCTGGGATGTAAGCCACAGTGTGTTTTGGGAATCGAATTTGGGATGGTTGTTGCAGAAGAAGGATATTAAGTAAGAAAAATATGAACTTATATATTTATATCTTTATATAGTTATTTTGTTCTTTATGAAAATGTGCATTGAAGAAATTAATTATCAACAGAGATGAATTTGAACTGAGCACAGTGTGGCATGAACTGATTGTATCATCCACTATTGGAGCTGCCTGGCTGGCAGCATTGGCTGCTGGTCCTGCAACAGGTTAGTTTTGAATTTCTATATAGAGAGATAAAGCTTAGAGGCTAAAACAGGATTTAGGTTACCAAAAATCTCACAAATGATCATATATCTAAACAATGCTCATTATCATTATTTACCTCATGCTTTGTAGAGCAGGATGTGTTCCTAATTATGTTTTGATAATTTGATATATAGCTTTGTTACTTTTTAGATGTTAGAATATACTTTCCTTATTAATTTTTCACTATTTGAGGCAGTATAAGGGATTGATATGCAAAGGATAAGAAGACTTTATTTTTCATATTTTCAGCAGCATAGTGAAAATACCCCTTTTTTTGCAACCATTTTCCATTTTCCTTACTTCATGCACATCATGTTTCTGATGAATTACATTTTATGATGGGTAATTTATTCTTAATAGAATTATCACGAGCAGTAGCTGACACCACACTCTAACTAACCAGGTTCCAACCCATATACTCTATACTGTATCTCTAAATTAGTTCACAGCTATTGCACCCATACCTTCCACATCCTTCTATTCATATTATATTTATTTTTCTAATAGGAATCCAGCCATGATGTGAATCACTTGTAATGAGGAACAAGTAATGGAGCTGTAGTGATTATGTAGTTTTTTATTCATGAACTCCCAATTGCTTTCTGATGGCATACTTTCTGTTTATCAGTAGTGAATATCAGTCACAAGTAAAAAGGGCTGTACACAAAGATAGGGTAATTAGCAATGTAAGAACTGTGGATTGTGGAATTAAAATTTCTTTTTATTAAAATGTTGGTGTCATTACTTTAAAATAGTATTTAATGTAATTAAATTTGTTCCATCCTAGAGACAACATACAATTACATTGCTATAATCAGTAAAGGCATGAAGATAGGTAATTTTTTTTAAAGGATTTTTTTTCTAGACACAGCTTTATGCAGTTATTGATAAATACTCCAATTTGTATTTACATACTTGTAAACTGAATTCCTATTCATAGAATATCATGTGCAAAATATGAAATGTCGAAAAGATCGTAGATTTTGTCAGTTGCATAATTTGAAGAGTTGGAAATAATTATTTCATGTCCCAATCATTTTTTATTTCATGTATGCATTTTATATGGTTTAGTGAACATTAATGGAAAGAAAGATGGTGGCTATTTTTATTATTTAATTTCAGTGTGAATTGACAAAAACTCGCATTGGCATAAGCCCTTTTGCTGAAAAAGTTTTGAGAGACCAGGTCTTGTTGATATGAGCTCTTGATGACAACAACTAATGTCCACACCCATCAGTACTGACACTGTAGAAATGGGTGTTAAATTCAGAGTAATAGAAAGTGTAAGTTATACCATGAACAGGTTATGCTCCCTAGAGTAGATTTAATTTTGATGTACTATACTTCAGTATTCTGTTGTTTAACCAACTAAAGTCGGATCAACTACTGCTGATCCAACTATATCTGATCTGCCTTTGGTCTGTTGAACAATTGTTAACCCACCTTTTTGCACTGCCTGATAAAGACCTTTCTAATGCTTTAGATTATTTCATTTTTCATTATCAGATGAAACATCTCTTCTGGCCTTGTTATTAATTTACCATGATCATAATTTTCTCATTATTTTTATTCAAACTTTTAGTCCCATAAACTTGGTCCTTAAGCAATATATGCATGCACTTACTGCACCAAGGGAAATTGGCACAACATAGTAAAGATATCATAGCTATAGGCATAGAATTTCAAGGAAAAGAGGATTCATAAATTGATGTATGCTGAGAATAATTCATGTTATTTATTTGTCTTTTATTTGATTATACCCAATCAACCAATACCATTTCAGATATGTCAAAGTGATACTGTTGAAATACAGGAAATTTTTCATATTTTTCTGCTGTATAGAAAAACTTGTAATATTAGGACCCTAAAGATATGTAGCTTGTTTCATCTGTACAGATACCAACATCTGATTTTTTCAAGAGAATCCTTGCATCAGGCTAATCCTGGTCTTACAGCCCAGAGTCATAAAACCCTATCATTGTATATAAAACTCTTAGTTACTTTGAAGTCTGGGATGAGGACTTTTACTGACTGAGTAGGCTTACTTAGCAGGCCCTGAAAATGCTGGATCTTGGGCTTGATCAGGAGATCTCTAAGGACAAGGGCTTCCCACTCTACTAGATGTATTAGGAGCTGCCACAAGTACCTCCAGAGACTCAGACAAGATAACACCATTACTGGCATGGTCAAGGTCATTGACCTTACTATAAACAAATGTCACACATTGACTTTGCATGACAGCGTCTTTGGATGATAGTAGCTAGTCCAAATAAACATTGAAAACTGTTAGAGGCTCTTTCCTGGATACACAAGAAGTAAGCTTGACATTCCTCCACCACCCTTACATATACTTTTGGTACCAGTAGATGGGCATACTATGTATCTTGTAATATTTGTCAGAATTCCTTTGAGTCTCAGGATATCCCAGAGCTGAGTGCCTTTTTAATATAAGTGAAGGTTACAATCTCACAATGGTCATCTACAGTTATGTTATTGGTGATTGCTAAAAGTATAGCAATCCCCTTTTGCCTTTCAGAGGGGTGACCATGCCCTTCAGCAGGAGTCTGGAAGGGTACCAGACTGCTGCATGGCAGCCAGGTTAGCACCCACTCCTGAATTCAGCAGTTTAGAATTGATACTGTATATGCCCACTTTTCCTTGGAGATTACCTCCCAAATCTCAGTCAGTATAGAAGAATCTTTGCTGAGTTGAGCAACCCAACTTGAAAGACCTGCTTGAAAAAGTCATCCCACAACTCTTATACCACCTAAGGACCAGACATAATTTGGGGAATTGATAAGGAAACTGCAACCACCTGTGAAGATGGTTTGGCATTCAGTTTTTCTTGAGTGGAAAGGAGAAGGTAATTTGGTAAATACTATTCTTCAACCTTAGTAATATTCCAAAGTGTTGTTCCTAGTCCCTCCTATACAATGTCTGAGTCTTATGCATTAGAAAGTAATGTAATTCATAATCTCCAGCTAGCTGAGCTGTATAGAATGCATCTATGGTCTCTGGTCTCTCGAGAGACAAAGTTCACAGGTGCTCACCAAAAGATTTTGAGCTGTCTCTGGGCAAATCTCATATGATAATGTCCCACAGCACTGTTGTGTCCATTAGGCTGTTAATCACTCTAAATTGATCAGACATAGACATAGGAAACTTCTGAGCACATTTCTCCTCTCAATATATTCAGGACAAACACTTTGGGTTTGTCACAGGTCAGATGAGAAGTTCTGAATTGAATCTGGAGGGTCCCCATGACCACAAAACTCCCCACTCCAGAAAGCCATTCAAAGATGTATTTTTTTTGGGTGGCTACATTGAGTGCATCACTTTACTAGCTTCAGCAGGTACCAATTTACAGTGCTAATTGTACCAGGTATTAGCATTCCTAAATCTCTGGAACCTCCAAATTCTGGAGAAGAGGCTATTTTCACTATTGGTATCAGCTCCCAAACCATGGAGACCAAAAGCCATGTTGTAATCAGCTTGATCATAGATGGATACTGTGATACTGCCATGGAAACAAGTTTGGCATGGAACATCTTTTTATCATATCAGGAGCAGATATGGCAGTAAGAGAGTGCTTAATACCATTATATTCTCATTGACTGGAGGTACCTCTTCCTGGTAAAGGCTGAAGTTTGGTGGGAATGACCATGGTTATCCTTAAGGATGGTGTCCTTTCTTACAATTTTAACCAGTGAAGTCTAATCTAAGTACTGGCAGTAGCAGTTAGTCATCCCACAAATAGCATATATTCCGTACTGCCACCCAGATAGCCCACCTCTACCAGTCTCTTGGCATTGGCCCAAAGATAAGTGGATGGCAGTTCTCAGATCCCAGAAACCACTTGCTAGTGGGTTATGGCTCCATATCACAATGGCTTCCTGATGCTTTAAGATCCTCAGTTTACTCATAAACTGAGGTGGATAGCCTCAAAGAATCACTGCAGAGAAAAGTCTTGATGATGGAGAAGCTACTTACTGGCAGAGGGGGCTTATGGTTAACTGCTTCTTTTTTGTCCCAGGCTTACTAGTTGTGACAGCTGGAAGAGATAAGGCATGCAAACATTTAGCACTGAACTAAATTAACCACATATAGTTCACATTACCTGAGCATGAAGCATGCACCCACACTTCTAAGTTTTATGATCTGTATGAGCTGGGAAAAAACTAATAGTATCATCTGCCTGATATGTGAGTGTTAACTTCAGGTTTGATGCTTTGCTTTTTTGTATGGATATACAAATGACAATTATTGTACTTTTTCTGATATCAAAAACAAAAATTTGCCCTTAGGTAATGTAAAGAGAATGAAGTATTATTTTCATTATGCTAAAATCTTTCCTTTAGTATCATTTGGTAATACCCATCAAGAAAATGAATTAATCCTGATAAATATTTTTGGCAGAAATCACCTTAAAGTTTGCTAAGCTGCTGTGCCAAATGTGAATCCTACAAGCATGCAGGAACCCTTGATGACATCAGAGAAAGGGACTTAGTGATATTCCAGTTGTGTAAGATCCAGAATCAACATAGATATTGTCAAATATGCTTAACTCTTTAGCAAATATGCAAAAGGAGAGGCTAAGGGACTAAGATCAGTGTAGAATGGAATTCATTCAATTTGAGTCACAGAGATTAGATGATCCAGTTAGCTATTAAAAGAGGGAAAGAGAATGAATGAATGGATCAGTGATTGAAGATGTAATGTTAACTGTAAATTTTATTTTTATTTAGATCGGTTTGGACGGCGACCAGTGATTCTTGTTGCAAGTGTAGTGTTCACTGTTGGAGCAGTGGTAATGGGAGCTGCTCCAGAAAAGGTGACACTACTAATTGGAAGAATAATTGTTGGATTAGGAATAGGTAAGGCAGATCAATGGAATGAAGCAAAGAAAAATACATATACATATGAATATACATATGCATATACTTGTATATATATTTACATGTACATGTGTATGCTTATTCACACACACACAAGCATATATACATACACATGCATTGTTTTTGCACTTAATTAACTGTCTTAATATATATGCAGGTATGGCTTCAATGTCAGTGCCAGTATACCTGAGTGAATCATCCCCTGCCGATCTTCGCGGGCGCATCACTGTAACAAACAATATCTTCATCACTGGGGGTCAGTTGATTGCATCTGTGATCTGCGGTGCTTTTTCAAAAGTTCCACAGGGTTGGAGGTAAGACTGTCCAGATTTCTTTGCATAATCTCCAGGTTAATAATCCAGTTGCAACTAGTGAAATTGCATATCTTTTTAATCACACTGATAATTTGATTTTATTAAATTGTATATCTTATAATTGACTACAATATTACTATGTGATAGCTCTCTGAATAGTTCTCTGAATTTGCAACCAACCAAGCATTTCATACTTCTGCATGGGATTAACTCTTTTTTTGGTGTGTGTGTGTGTGTGTGTGTGTGTGTGTGTGTGTGTGTGTGTGTGTGTGTGTGTGTGTGTGTGTGTGTGTGTGTGTGTGTGTGTGTGTGTGTGTGTGTGTGTGTGTGTGTGTGTGTGTGTGTGTTGTGTGTGTGTGTGTGTGTGTGTGTGTGTGTGTGTGTGTGTGTGTGTGTGTGTGTGTGTGTGTGTGTATCTTTATTTTTTTTTGTTTATTGCCTCAGGTTTATCTCAAACATGGCATACATTCAGATAAATTTTCTATGTTAATTTATGTGTTAGAAATATATATGAAGTCTAAGAGCCTTATTGTTCCTCTTTAAATGGCTCTGGTGTTCTGGAGAGTGTCTTTATATGGTGATTCTTACAGGTACATGCTTGGTCTAGCGGCATTACCTTCTGTTGTGCAGCTGATGGGCTTTGCGTTTATGCCAGAAAGCCCAAGATGGCTGATACTCAAAGGCAGGCAAGTTTGTGATCATAATTCTTTTAATGAGTATGTGAACACTTATTTTGATACAAAACAAATTTGTTTGGATTATTAATTTTACTTTGTAACAATCACAAATAATCAGGAGAATAATTCACATAGTTACTTACTATGGTAAAAGTCTGATGCTTCAGAAAAAGTTCATGTATATTGTACAAGACCTCACAATCTTGCACAATGAGGGTGGTGGATCTCAATCACACACAACAGTTGAATGAATATGTGTCCTGTTGATGAATTTTTTGGGTGCGAGACATGTATCACTCTGTTTTAACATATGTTTGTAATTGTGGAGTAATGAAATGAACTCGAACTCTGCAGCTTATATTTACTTCAGTATATAGTATTGCAATCACAGATATACTATATGGACAAGTATATGATATTACAGAATATTGTACAGTTCCATCATCACAGATGATACTTGAGACACTCTTTCACACTTCACAAATCTTGCCTTGAACTCAGCTGTCTACAAGGAGGGTAGACCTAAGCTCACCTAGACAGAGGGATGGTTGTTCGGTTGTATGGATGTTGAAGTGACAGTTTCAAAAGGCAACTTGGTATTTTGCTCCTTCTTTCAAATTAAAGTAACCATCAAGATTATCCACAAATAGCTTTCCCCTAATATAAACACAACTTCTACATCCACAGCCTCACTACCAGAGAACATTGTTTTGTTGTTTCATTCCCTTAGATTTTTTCTATCATAATAAGTAATAT